CTCACGCATGCTTGCTGGAGGTCCAAGCCCCTCGCACACAAAACCTCCTTTACCCCCTTCCCTCCAACCTTTCCTAGGCCGACCCCTACCCCGCCTTCCCTCCACTACAGATTTATACACTCGAAGTCATTCTGTTTTGTTCCATTCTCTCTACATGTCCGAACCACCTCAACAACTCCTCTGGATAATAGTTTTGGTAATTCCAAACCTCATCCTAATCTCCAAACTACGGATTCTCTGCATTATATTCACACCACACATTGCCCTCAGTCATAACATCTCCACTGCCTCCAGCCTTCTCCATGTTGCAACATTCACCACCCATGCTTTGCACCCATGTAAAGTAAAGTTTATTTCTTTGTAAAGGTTACAATGTGTAATTACAATTTTGATTTGCTAAGTACAAATATAGCCACTATCATGCTGAGGTATTTTGGGCAAACTAATCCTAATACATAGTAACTAATTAAAACTAAATAAGATAATAGTACATAGTAACTATACTACTTAAAACTAGACAAGAAGTAGTGGTTAACTGTTTTCCAATCTTATTTAAACTTAATACAAGTGAGAGGTAGTAAGGTGGAGTAGGGTTCAGTAAAATAATTTTGAAATTGCACACAAAATCTACCTTACAAGTAATGGTGCAGGTGGTAATATTTTATGGATTGGCAGAATTAAAAGCCAGGAGGTCACATAATAAAACTAATTAGCAGATGTTTTGGCTGATTTGGTTAACATTGAGAGATAAGATGATTTTATGGATTGGCAGAATAAAGTTAAACTATACTCTCACACATTCCCCTCATTGCTTCCATGGACAAAGTTCTTTGTCTCCACAGACTCCTCAGTGGACCACTCGCTTTTTTCCCCTTGTCACTTCTATGAGTCGCCTCATCTTTCATAGACCCATCTGCTGACACATCCACTCCTAAATGCATTCATCTACATACTCTCTCCCTCCAGTCTGATATCCAATCTTTCATTACCTATTTTTTTCTTATCCTCATCACCTTACTCTTTCCTATATTCACTTTAATTTTTTTTTCTTTTACATACCCTACCAAACTCATCTGCAACTGCAACTTCTCTTCAGAATCTCCCAAAAGCACAGTGTCATCAGCAAAGAGCAGTTGTGACAACTCCCAGTTTGTGTTAGATTCTTTATCTTTTAAACCCCACACCTCTTGCCAGCACCCAAGGATTTACTTCTCTTATAACCCCATTTATAAATGTATTGAACAACCATGGTGACATCACACCATACGAGATATGATGTAAGATGTAATGACAGTAGTTTGTTGGATTATGTGTTTGTGAATAAAAGGTTGATGGGTAGACTTCAGGATGTGCATGTTTATAGAGAGGCAACAGATATATCAGATCATTTTTTAGTTGTAGCTATAGTGAGAGTAAAAGGTAGATGGGGTACTCGGAGAATGGTATTATAAAGTGAGAGAGAGGTGAAGGTTTATAAATTAAAGGAGAAGGCAGTTAGGGTAAAATATAAGCAACAGTGGGTATAAAGATGGGCTAGTGAGAGTGTAGGCAATGAGGTTTAAGAGGTATGGAGTAGATTTAAGAATGCACTGTGAGTGTTCAGCAGAAGATTGTGCATATAGGAGGGTGGGTGCCAGAGGGAAGAGGAGCAATTGGTGGAATGATGAGGTAGAGGCATATGAGAGGTTTTTACAAAGTAGAAGTGATATACAGAGGGAGGAGTATATGGAGAGAGAGAAAAAAAAAGAGAAGAGAGAGGTGAAGATGAAAAGGAGGGCAAATGAGATGCTGTCAACAAATTTTGCTGAGAATAAGAAAAAGTTTTGAAGTGAGACTGATAAGTTGAGAGAGCCTAGGGGACAGTTGGATTTGACAGTTAAAAATAGAAGAGGAGAGTTATTAGATGGGGAGTTGGAGGTATTGGGAAAATGGAGGGAATATTTTGAGGAACTGTTAAATGTTGACAAAGATAGGGAAGCTGTGATTCCATGCATTGGCCAGGAGTGAAGAAAAGCCAGATGTGAGTGTGGAGGGAGGTACACAGGGGCAAATCTACTTAAAACTGTCTGTTCTTTGAAAAGAGGTTGTGAAGGGGGCCCCCATAACAGTTCAAGCTTCAGGGCCCCCAAAAATGTAGGTTTTCCACTGGAGGTACATGAAGCTGTAGGTAGAATGAAAGGTAAAGCAATTGGTATTCATGGAATCAAGACAGAAATGTTAAAAGCAAGTGGGTATATAGGTTTGGAATGGTTGGTGCTTTTATTTAATAAATGTATGAAAGATGGGAAGGTACCTAGGGATTAGCAGAGAGCGTTCATAATTCCTTGGTATAAAGGCAGATGGGACAAGAGAGTGTAAGAATTATAGGGAAATAAGCCTGTTGGAGTATACCTGGTAAAGTGTATGGTTGAGTTATTATTGAAAGAATTATGAGTGAGAGAGCAGGACTGTAGATGAACAAAGAGGCTTTAGGAAGGGTAGGGGATGTGTAGACCAAATATTCAAAGTGAAACATATAAGTGAACATTATTTAGACGAGGGTAAAGAAGTTTTCGTTGCATTTATGGATTTGAAAAAGGCATATGACAGGGTGGATAGTAAAGCAATGTGACAGATACTACAAGTGTGTGGAATAGGTGGTAGGTTACTGAAAGCAGTGAACAATTTTTATGAGGATAGTGGGGCTCAGGTTAGGGTATGTAGGAGAGAGATTATTTCCCAGTAAAAGTAGGCCTTATACAGAGATGTGTGATGTTACCATGGTTGTTCAGTATATTTATAGACGAGGTAAGGGAAGTGAATACTTGGGTGTTGAGAAGAGGTGTGGGATTGAAAGATAAGGAATCTAACACAGTGGGAGCTGTCACAGTTGCTCTTTGCTGATGATGCTGTGCTTTTGGGAGATTCTGAAGAGAAGTTGCACGCATGCGTGCATCAGAGTTAGCAGATTTGGCCCGATACTTCAGAAGACAACTGGACATACCCACTATGGACAAAATGAGGAATTACAGACTTTTGTTCATTTTTTCTGATAATTAGAGCATTTGTCCTGCCAATTTTTTGTCCAAAATTGCCGAAATCTGTTAATGAAAGATTTTACTGGGTGTTTTGTTGCTAAAAATTCTCATTACATTAATCCCTTTAGGATTCCAAGGCTCAGATACTCTCTTCTGGAATGGTTCTAGAGCCTACTCAGTGAACATAAAGGTGTTCACTTTGCCTCTAACTAACAAGGGGGAGTCACTGTCATTCTCTAGTAACAAATCAAATACTAGTACAAACCCCACCTCAAGGAAAATATGGAGATAAGATGTGATGCTGTGTAATTCCAGACGGGAGCAGGCGGTTTCCAATCTTAAGTTGGAATAATGACTACTTAGACTTGCTTCAAAATATCATATACATACAAAAAACTTAAGGTAAAAATCATATGATTGAAAAGGTCTTAGAATGGGCCCACAATAACATTCTTGAAGCACATCCAAGTCCCCCAATATTTCTGTGTTGAAACATTAAAGGGTTTACAATCTTATTGTCAGACATCTTAATCACACATAATTTATAATTCAAATAATAATAATTTATTTCAGCATGATACAATGTTTGTACAGAGATGGGTGACATTTAGTTGTACATGCAGAAAGACCTTAGATATGTGCAATGTTTCAGGCAAGCTAAGCCTGACTTAAGACTTCAGTGGCAATAATAAATTAATTGTTTATATACAAGGACATAAAGGGTTTATAAGCAGTAAAACTTCACTTGCATAATGTCAAGTGGTTTTAACCCTTTGACTGTTTCAGGCCCCTTTCTGAAACTGTCATTCTATGTCGCTAAATTTTTGAAAAAAAAAAAAAAATTCTTATGAAATGATAGAGAATCTTTTCCCGATGGTAATGGCACCAAAAGTTCGAAATTTGGTCGAAAACTCGTGGAATTACGCTCCCACGAAGTTAGCGGTCTCGGCGACATGCGTATCAGTGATTTCGCCGACTTTGAGCCCTATTTTCAGCCAATTCCGTTGTTCCAGTTGACCAAACTCATAGCTATTTCTTTAGAACTCCATTTTATCTATCAGCTGAGTACAAGAAACCTCCCATTTACCAATTTGGACTACCCAATATTGTGGTCAGAAATTGGCAATTTGGCCAATTTCACGCAAACTAAAAAAGATGCCAATTTCAAAATAGGGTCCAGAATAAACAAGGTAGACATTCTTGGCACTAAAATAACATATGCTCTGTTCATTAGTCACATCTCTAGGCCCCTCTTATATTATTATTGCTTTCTATTTTTATTTTTTATTCATACAAAAACATACAAAATTTACTGTTATGCAGACTACTGCATTATTGTAAAAATGGTATAAATAATATCAGTGCACTAGTGAAAGAATATTAGACTCCCCAGTTGACGTGTATTGAACGTGTGGTGTGATTTGTTTACTCCTGAACATTGGTAAAAATCGAACATTTCCACTACTTTGAGCTCAGTTTCAAGGTTGTTTTCATCGTCAAAGTAATGAAAATCATCTCTATTTCTGTAATATGTTATCCATTTTATCACCTAAGACCATGAAAACGCAAATACATCGATAAGTACTATACGAAAATACACCTCAAAGTCAGCGTTTTAATCCAAAAAAACGATCAGTTTTTTTTTTCTCATTACGCACTGTGTGCTGCAGGATTTTTTTTATGTGATGCACACTGACCACACAGACCCATTCTGTCACATGTGGGCCTACCAGCTTTCTCCCGCTTGATTTGAAGCCGCTAGAATTATTGAGTATATATACGTCTGAAACACTGGCTCGTAAGACGTATATATATAACCAAAACAGTCAAAGGGTTAAATTCTCCCATAAATGCTTCTCATTACCAGGAGTTTTTTCAAAATGTATGAAATAAACGTTGCATAATTTTTTAAAATATGTACGTTTTGAAAAAAAAATACTTATTGGTAATATCACAAATACTATAAATTTCTGTATTCTACAGGTAATTTTAGTTTTGGTGGGTTTACGAAGTTTAAAAGTCAGACCATTGTGGAGTTCATAGAGAATGCTGTGGAACATTCTCGCAGTGGTCGCTACTTGTTCTTCTTGCATCGTCGACCCGTGCTGGGACCCATGAGGGTTCAGCTCCTTCACCCTGTGTCGCGGTTTAAGCACATTCAGAGTCTTCAGCATCTTTGTCGGTATGTATTTTTATATTGTACTGTATATACCCCGAGTATAACCCGAATCTGTATATACCCAAGTATGACGTGACTGTATATACCCAAGTACAGTGGACCCCCAGTTAACGATATTTTTTCACTCCAGAAGTATGTCCAGGTGCCAGTACTGACCGAATTTGTTCCCATAAGGAATATTGTGAAGTAGATTAGTCCATTTCAGACCCCCAAACATACACGTACAAACGCACTTGCATAAATACACTTACATAATTGGTCGCATTCGGAGGTGATCGTTATGCGGGGGTCCACTGTATAACCGAACTTTGTGTATAGGTTGACTCCTGGTATTTTGCCCCCAGATCCTTAATTTTCATTAAGCAGACTATGTCCTCTGGAGTTTACCTGGAGAGAGTTTCGGGGGTCAACGCCCCCGCGGCCCGGTCTGTGACCAGGCCTCCTAATGAAAATTAAGCAGACTGTTCAGTGTAACAGAGTTTTCAGTAAATAGAACCCCCCCTCTCCCTCATTAGTCTGTTTTATTGTACTTTTCCTGTACTTGTCATCATGATCTCGTGTTGACACCTTCACTGCCAACAACACACTGCCTAACTCTTCCCTTCTGAATGCAGTGTTTATGTTGTATCAATTTGACAAGTTTCAACATAAGAACATAAGAAAGGAGGAGCACTGCAGCAGGCCTGTTGGCCCATACTAGGCAGGTCCTTTACAATCCATCCCACTAACAAAACATTTGCTCAACCCAATTTTCAATGCTCCCCAAGAAATAAGGTCTGATAACTCTATCCACTCATTTGCAAGTCCCACTCAAATCCAACCCCTCCCACTCATATATTTATCCAACCTAAATTTGAAGCTACCTAAAGTCCCAGCCTCAATAACCCAACTAGGTAGACTGTTCCACTCATCAACTACCCTATTTCCAAACCAATACTTTCCTATGTCCTTTCTAAATCTAAACTTGTCTAATTTAAATCCATTACTGCGGGTAAAGCATAAATCCTTTCACTCTGGATTTCATCATCATTTGTGCAGCAGTATATCTCAACATGTAACATGTATGTGTGCTCCTTGACTTACGATGGGACTACATTCCAACAAACCCATCGTAAGTCAAAAGTATTGTAAGTCAAATATGATATGATAAATACAGGAAGGCCCCACATATATAGCAGGTTAGGTTCCAGGTTTCCACTATAAACGAAAATTCCCATAAAGCGAATTGCCCTTTTTTTTCACTTTTAACCCCTTAATTGTCCAAACATTGATTTACATTCTTACTGCTAGTGCTCTAAACGTAGATTTTTTTTTTTATCAAACCGCCCATATCCCATCGAAGCAGGGTGACCTAAAAAGAAAAACGAAAGTTTCTCTTTTTAACTTTAGTAATGTATACAAGAGAAGAGGTTACACAAGAGAAGAGGTTACTAGCCCCTTGCTCCCAGCATTTTAGTCGCCTCATATGACACGCATGACTTAGAGGAAGAATTCTGTTCCACTTCCCCATGGAGATAAGAGGAAATAAACAAGAACAAGAACTAGTAAGAAAATAGAAGAAAACCAGAGGGGTGTGTATATATATGCTTGTACATGTATGTGTGGTGTTACCAAAGTGTAAGTAGAAGTAGTAAGACGTACCTGAAATCTTCCATGTTTATGAGACAGAAAAAAGACACCAGCAATCCTACCATCATGTAAAACAATTACAGACTCTCATTTTACACTCACTTGGCAGGACAGTAGTACCTCCCTGGGTGGTTGCTGTCTACCAACCTACTACCTACCTAAACGTAAATCAGTGTTTTATTTTTCCTGTCTCCAAATTTGGCACAATTGGCCTGAGATGCCTTGTCAGTATAGGTTAGGTCTTAACAATCAGTGTGCACAGTATTAAAATCTGGGACCACTTAGTACCACCTTGTGGGAACACCAGTTCAGTTGAGCACTAGCTAGAGCAAACAGCGTGGCAAACACCAGGGATTCACTGATGTCATGTCACTCCCCTTTAAAAAGGAAAGTGATATTGGCCTAGAGTTTAGTGGCTGTGAGATGGATGTGGTCACAAGTGGTCAAGGAATATCAAAATCCTCAATAATAACCCATGTGCAACATTTATGCCACATCCTTTCAGTTCTGATACCACTGGTAGTGTCATCCTGCCAGAATGTCCTATAACCTATGCCTTAAGTAAAGAGAAACGATTCTGGAATGTGTAATATGTATTTGGCTGGCTGGCTGGCCAATTGGCTGGCTGGCTGGCCAATTGGCTGGCTGGCTGGCCAATTGGCTGGCTGGCTGGTCAATTGGCTGACTGGCTGGCTAATTGGCTGGCTGGCTAATTGGCTGGCTGGCTAATTGGCTGGCTGGCTAATTGGCTGGCTGGTATTGCTGGCTGGCTAATTGGCTGGCTGGCTGGCTAATTGGCTGGCTGGCTGGCTGGCTAATTGACTGGCTGGCTGGCTAATTGGCTGGCTGGCTAATTGGCTGACTGGCTGGCTAATTGGCTGGCTGGCTAATTGGCTGGCTGGCTGGCCAATTGGCTGGCTGGCTGGCTGGCCAATTGGCTGTCTCTATCTCACAGGTACACATAAGTACATAGTGTAAATTACCTAGGATAACCCCAAAAGTCCGACAAGGTGCTATACTGCGCTTATAGATATAATACATAAACATGATTGGCAAGTAGTACACATTTCCACTTGTTCAGGAATCAAACATAGCAATTCTGCAACGTGTGAAATACCTGTTGGTTCATAAGCGGCTCTCTTTGAGACAGAGAGACAGGCAGACAGATAGCAGAGGAAGATAAACAGAGCTAGACAGACAGACATAGATATAGATGGACAGATAGATTTTTTTTTCCCCAACAAACCGGCCGTATCCCACCAAGGCAGGGTGGTCCAAAAGTAAAATGAAAGTTTCTCTTATTAAATTTAGTAATATATACAGGAGAAGAGGTTACTAGCCCCTTGCTCCTGGCATTTTAGTCGCTGCCTCTTACAACACGCATGGCTTATGGAGGAAGACCTCTTCAAGGGGGGCTCCTTGGCGTGGTGAAGAGGCTCTTGGTCAGAGGAATTAGACCTGTCGGTCTCCTTCCTCAGACCGAACCTAATTACCCCCCAATCCCCCGTTCCCTATCCCATCCTCCCCTTTTTCCTTTCCTCCTCCTCCTCCTCCCCACCCCTCCCTTTTGCCTTTCCTTTTTGGCCTTTGGGTGTTTTTTTTTTTTTCCCCACAGGCACGCTAGTTCCTAGGTAGGGGAAAGGGTACCGGGGTCCATCCCATTCCGTTGAGGTTCTTGGCGGTGGCGTAGTTTGCCATGGAATCTGGATTGCCTGGGGATGTCCTGATCCCTCTCCGGTATCCCGGAGGGTGGCTTTGGGTATCTCTCGGGCGACGGGTGTATCTCTGGAAGCCACCTTTCGGATTCCGGGGGTGGTGGCCGAAGGAGGTATGCTTTGTGGCGGATTTCTGGCCGCCCTCTCTTTTGTCCACCGAGGTAGCTCGGCAGATGGGTAGGGTATGGCACGGGTTCCATGCTGCATCTGCGCTACTTGCAGTGCTGAGGTCCTCTTGGGCGCGGAGGGAGATTTCTGGCCCTTTCATTCCTCCTAGGAACTATCTCTCCCCGGTCCCCCCTTTTTTTATTCTGTTTTTTTTTATTTTTATTTTCTTTTCTTTCTTTTTTTTCTTAAAAACAGAAAGAAGTAACCTAACCATGGCAGCCCTAGTCCATGAACCTGCTACCCCCGGGCCCCTTCTTGATACCGCACCCTGTTCTGACCCCGCCTCATCTTTGGACCACTCTTCGGACACTCCTCATGCCTCTGTACCTCTTGCCGGTGCTGTTTCCTCACCCGCTTCAGGTACTGAGGCCTCGACTGACTCCTTCGATTTATCTGACCTTCGCTCTCCTCTGACTATGTTTCCGGCCTCTCCCTCTACGGTGCGGCAATTTTCGAATTGCCGACCCGTTCCACGTCAGACCAACTCTGGTCCCACGCCTAAACGCCAACGACAATTACCTGCTGATGATACTTCTCCACCTTCTCGTTCTTCTCAGAAAAGATCGACACGTCCTTCACTACCTTTCCACGCTCAGTTTCAGACTGCACAATGGACTAAATTCTTCACTTTACGACCGACTTCCTCTACTGCCTATCTTTCTGACCACAGTATTGGCAAGGCACTCCTACGCCATGTTGGTAAAGATATTTCTTTTCATGCTCTTAAGAGCGGTACGCGCATCATCACCGTACAGAATGCTACCCAGGCTCATGAGCTTTCTCGTCTTTCCCATATCGATACTGTTCCTGTCACTATTGAAAAACAACGTTCCCTCAATTCTTGTAGTGGTACCGTCATTCTGCCCCCATACCATAGTTCAACAAAATTTCCAGACATGTGGCACTGACATTCCTGAACAGCTGGAACTCCAAGATCTCCCAATCCTCAAGGTAGACACTTACATTCTTCCTGCTCGTGGGCGGAGACGATACCCTAGCAATGTGGCTCGTTTAACTTTTGACAGCCGTGAACTCTCATCCTCGGTTTATGTAGCAGGACATCGGTTACAAGTTCGAAAGGTGATCCCTACACTGCAACAGTGTAGAAATTGCTGGCGATTTGGCCATCCAGCAAAATATTGCAGATCTATCGCCGAATGCCCAGTCTGTGGTGCCAATGACCATTCTAATACATCTTGCAATCGACCTCCCTCTTGCCTTAATTGACATGAGGCTCACCCTTCGTACTCTCGCCGTTGTCAAGTCTACTTAAACGAGCGGGAAATCCGTTACCTCAAAGAGGCAGAAGGTCTCCCTTATGCCATGGCAGTTTCTCATCTCCGCCTCCAGGGGAGACTACCTCGTGTTTCTTATTCCCGTGTTTCAAAACGTCCCCCCACTTCTGGTATCCCATCTTCTGCACCCACCTCTATGGTTACCTCTCCAATAGTCACTCCTGTATCTAATTCTTTTGCTGTCCTTGGCTCAGAC